CAGAGCGCCGCACTGCTGAAGCCCCCCCCGTGCGGAGCACCGCCAAACACCCCCCCACTGAGCGCCGCGCTGCCAAACCCCTCCCCTCCAAGTGCTGCGCCGCCGAACACCCTCCGCCGAGCACTGCGCCGCCGGAACCCACCCCCCTGGCCGAGCACCGCGCTGCGTTGCCCCCCGCCAGCCCAAGACTGGCCGCCCCTTACCAGGTGCTGCCCCAAACACGTGCTTGGTTGGCTGGTGCCTGGAGCTGGCCCTGGTTGGCTGTCATGTGCTGCCTGCACTGTTGCTTAAAAGCAAGGTAGAAGACTTAGGCATGCAAGCAGGATGCATACATTTACTGGACCCTCTCAGGAGGTAAAGCTGTATGTGGCATCTATCTCCTTTGCAAGAATAGTGCCAAGCATTTTAGGAGTGATAGGGTGGTAAATGGAAAGAAGTGGAGAGACAAAGATTGGGAGAGAAGAAATGCAGAGCAAAGTACCAAAAAAATTTTGATGAATGAAATTAGATGAATGGGAGACAAGGAATAAAAAGAAAAGGTGGTAGTGCTCTGCCCACAACCCAAAGTCTATTCACTGATAACACGAAAATGAGAATCATCAAGATATTAAGCAGTAGAATAGAAAAGGGGAAGAGATGGCAAAGGGAGGGAGCAACAAAGGCAAAATAGCGAGTAAATGTTTTTATCTTATATAACCGTTGGTGCCAAAATATTATGTCAAAAAAAATAAATAAATTTTGTTGTCAGGAATCATCAAGGGACATAAGTATGTGAGGATGATCTGATATATCTGTCTTAGTTGCAAGATGAGCATAAGAGCTGTGTTCCTAAATATGGGAGAGGGCATAGAACTACCTTGATAGGGAAAGAAATAATTTTGGTTTGGAATAAAATATTTTTATACATCATTAGTGACGCTGTCTTTTTGCATGTTTATATCTGTGCAAGTGAGTCTGATGGAACAGTACAAGTATGTTCGAAGTTTTTTATCTTTGATATATCTTTGCCTCACTTAGTGATCTTGGTGTGGCATGGTAGTCCCTGATAAAAAGGCTGTGTTCTAGAGACACCTAATTTCTTTTCATGTGAGAGGCAGAAAGTTTGATGTACCTGAGCCTCAGATAGCCTACGTTCATTGGTGAATATCAAAAAGCTTAGAAATGAGATGTCTGCCTTTAAGAACTACATATGTAATATTAGATATTTTAGAATTTATAGTACTATAAAATGAGTATATAAAATAAATTGTCAGTCATTTTCTACCTCTGCAACCAGAATTGACCCAATATTTTTTTTTAGACAGTATACAATATCAATAGATGTATTAAGGTCCCATAGAAATAGCTATAAATAAAACAAATTGTGATGGGAAATAAATTTCTACAGCTTAGTCATATCTGAGTCCTGAATCTGCAGATAGCTCTTTCTTCCAAAATGTTTACAGATTAAACTATTTTTGCAGGTAATTTAACTTCATTGACAGCACTGAATCTAAGGCATTGCCCTCTGGAGTTTCCACCTAAAGATGTTGTACAGAGGGGACTGCGGTCCATTCTGTGCTTTCTCCGGAATGTCGGCAATGGAAAACTTGTCAATTTAGAGCCAGATACTCAAGGTATGTAGGACAATTATTCATGAATATTTATTAAAATTGTAATTAGTTGTTTTTGAAAAACAATGTGAATGAAGTGATGCATTCCCTGTATAGGTTTGTGTCAGTAGTACCATCAACTCTTGAATGCAAAATTGGACAAGTCCTGATATATAAATAGAAAAAGAAATGTATTATTATGTTTTTAAAACATATTTTAGGGTCTTGAAGGAGTTTGACTTTTATGTGGTAAGAGAGAAATCCAGGGAAGGGACTTAAGGATGTCTGTGATGTGGCTGGAGCAACAGGAGTGGAATATGTTTTCAAAAAAGGCAGTTCTGATAATAGAGGAGGAGATATGAGAACAGGAAAGGCTGGACACATGCAATAATCAACATGAAATATGACTAACATATACAAGATTTTTTAGAAAGGAAAAGCCAGATTGTGATGATATTTAAAAAGAAGTAGTAATAGGCCTTGGTGAGAAACTGACTGTTAGGAAGGAGATTATACTAAGGTTGAGACCCTCAGAGATGGGAAGGATAGTGAAATTTCCAAGAGACAGAGAAGAGGAAATATAGGAATTGTCATAACAAATCCAGCAAGTGGTTTACTGTCCTGTCTCTGATAGTGGCCAGGTGCATCTGAGAATGGTCTGAGAAACCCCATAATAAACAATTATGGAATAACTTGCTCATAGGAGAAATTTCTTTAACCCCAGGCAATTAGTGATTAGTATATGTCCTAAAGCATAAGGAATTATATTGCTTATAAACATTTATCCTATTAATGTAACTGGATGTTCCTATCAGTAGAAACAATAAAAAGTTGAATTTTAGAAATGTTGAGTTCAAAATGGTGATTGAACATCCAAAAAGAGATGTCTGAGATGCATTAAGAGATGTGGAATGGACATAGGGAGAGGGATCAGGGATAGAGAGGTAGATTTGGGAATCATTCACATAGAGGTGATGGTTGAAACTCTGGGAATAGATGAAGTCAGCAAGAATAAGGAGACAAAGGGACAGAAATCTGAAAGACACCAAGGGGAGCAGAGAGTGAAGAATTACCATGTGTGTTTTAATGACCACAAGTGTTCAGGATCTATGTTTTCCATCTCAGGTAGTAGACTATATCTCTAGCAGCACTGTGTTCTATATCAATTTGCTGTGGAGCTAGTTCAGCGCTGACCAGGAAAGAAAGTATCATTACTGAATTGCCAGCACCACTTTCTGCATGCAATACCTCTGCCTAACCCTGCTGACAATGGTCAAAAAGGAAATCTCTTGGTGACTGGATTATAGAATAATAGCTAATCTAAGTGTATTCAAGAATCCATACAGTGTTTGTATAAAGATTCCTATATCAACAAAAATGTAAACTATTTTTTTTTCAAAAAACATTGTAGATCTATTTGAAGCAAACTTTTCTGAAGATTATTTCATTACATTAAAAGGCCAAAATAAACTAGTGTTCTTTCAAGTAAAGGGACCATATTGTTTTATATGATACTGTGCATACTTTATTATTCGAACCCTTTGACTAAATTCTTTCCACATTAGTGTACATTTTAGTGTAAAATACACAAAATGCATTTACTTATATTTTTATCTTATCAAGACTAAGAAGAGATTTGGGTTAGATATTATCATCAGTATTATGCTATTCTGTAACAACTAGCTAATTCACTAGCAACAGGTAGTTATTTTTGTGCTGACTGCAGACAGATGCAAATACCTTATTAGAGAGACTAAGTAGCATAGTGGATTAGTGAATTAAACTGACTTGTCTGGACGGCTGAGTTCTCAAATCTTGGATTAGGCCTTGAGTCAATGAGTTTTGGTAGCCTCATCCTATTTATCTACATCACAAACCCAATCCACAATCTGGCATATTTTTCAGTATCTACTCAAGAAAGGATTATACTAGAATAAAAGAGTTATGGTAGGTCAAGGATGAGATTAATTCAAAAGTCTGTTTGAAGAAGTGAGCCCAGCACCTGCCTGCACAATGTGCTCCTTATGCCTGCCTCAGACTGTTACTCTGTTCTGATCATTTTTGAAAATTAACACAGTCTTCTATACTACTACCCATACTATTTACCATATGTCAGTATTCTAGATTACAAATAGAGAAGAACATTTAGGATGCAAGATTGCTCCTTATAATATATTCTATAGTCTTTTGTCCAGTCTAGTCTTAGTTTAGACTTTAATATAGTAGACATGCACATACTTTAAAGTTGTATATTTCACAGAATTGCCTTCTATGCTACAAGAAGATGCAAAGGCCATTGTTAAAGAGTACAAGAGAAAGTCAAAGAGATACCCTGCTCTTAGGAAAGCATTCACTGGTCCATGGAAACAGATGAGCTTCATTAGTGAGTTTAGTAGAATGTTAGTTAGAGGAAGATAACTTTTTATGTTTTATAGGAACATACTAACAATTGCATACATTTGTATGCATACATTGCGGTGTCCGCAGAACGTGTAATCTCAAAATGTATTATTGTATCTTGCTATTAAAGTTTAAAAATGTAGCATATCAAATAATTTCATATTTAAATTTCTGAAATCAAACTGAAAAAAATAGTTTGTATAGATTACATTTGTGCTTAATATACCTGAGACCTATGGCTATCTTGTAGATGGGTGTGTACTTAGCATTTCCATCAACAGCGTGATCCTTTGTAGAGCTGAAATGGGGGAAGAAAGTTTGGGTGCAGGAAAGAAAAACCAAATACTTACCCTTAATTTTGAACCAGAATTTATGTCCATGTAAGATATTCAAAATGACGCCTGTTATAGATTTTGGAAGTAATTGGGTAATAAGTCCTTTCCATTTCTGAAATATATTAGAAAGCCTTTGTTTAAATGGAATTGGGCTTTTTACAGTTTTCAGCAGATCTTATAATAAGAAATAAATAAATTTGAACATGAAAAATAGAAGCAAAACAATCTTTGTTCAAGAGGATAGAACAATTTTTTCTAATAATGAACTCTTATTATTTATTCTGAAAAGTACATTTGCCTTTGAGAATTATTTGCATTATCTTGAATAAGAAGTTTAAAATAGCCATGGAATCATCTTTTCTGTTAAGTAGAAGGAATAAAACTCCTAAATCCTTGATAATATATCCCTTAGAGAGAACTATTTGGTAAATCTTGTTCAGTATCTGTTAAAATTTAATTTTTGATATCACTATTAAGAATTAAATAAAGGACTGATCTTTTGTTTGTAAAATGTGCATAGACTGTAGATAGAGAGAGAATCCTTGGCTTTACCCTATGCAGAAGAACTTGTAATGTTTCTGATGATCACTTTTGCATAATCAGCTATAACAAATAGAATAAAATCAATGAATTATATCAGATTTTATCTAAATTCACTCCATGAGATAATTTTGATATATATCTAGTAACATGTAAGTAAATGTTTAGTTTAGAAATTATCACAATTATTTCCCACAATCATTTATTATTGTGTTTTGTTTCTGTTGCATTATGGACTAGAATGCCTATTTTTTCCTGAGATCCCTGTAAATATTTGTTATACATTAAAATGTAAGCCAAATAAATTATATTTTTAAAACACTACAGTGTTTTTCTTTTCTTGTCTAATTTCTTTCTTTGGTACATACATGATTTTGAAAATCTTATGGATTTTGTTTCTTTCTGCCACTATATAACTATATAAAAAGGTAGCCTTGCATGCTATTTATTTTCTATTTCATTCAAAGACAGCATATTTTAACTACAAAATAATTATAAAATGTATATTGGAACAGCTTCATAACTCATGCTACTGCAATATCATACTATTCTACTTTAGTTTAGATACTCTTATAATTAAGGAAAAATACTCCCCATAGACTTTGATTTTCAGAATTTGTGGACATGCCACATTTGGGAACCTTCTGTAATATTCAAGAGTTTTCTGCGCCCTCCCACGTGGCCCATCTGTTCATGCTGGATGAGCAGTATGTAAGAGGTGGTATATACACACTTCATGCAGTGAATATAACAGAATGTGCTATGGGAGAATGCATTTCCTCTAAAACTTGAGGAAAAGAGAGAGATGAAATATAGCTGTTTACTTCTCTGGGATTTGGGGAACCTCCAACTCTGCAGCTTCTGCCGAACCAAATCTTAATGCATCTTAGTCCTGACATGTAAATATAAAAAATATTCAAGTTGTGTATGTATAGACAAATGCACATAATAGAATAATTTGAGACAGTTTTTTTTTACTGGGATACCAAATAGATTTGAAACCCAGGTCTTCAGAGATAAGACTTCGTGCATAACTTGTTTTTTTTTTTCTTGATGTTGTATTTCATAAAGATTTCAAGTTCATGTTGGCTATGTTAAAAGGTTTTTCCCAATTGAACTAACAGATCTGCACCTAGGCATTTATTCCATGCTATGGTATCTTAGCGCTTAGCATTTTTACTTTCTTCTGATATTTATTTCTCTGGTACAAATATCTTACTTGCTGGTCATCATGCATAGCATCTTCACACATTCATTTACTCATTATTCATGCATAGTTTATGTAGTATACATTTACACTAGCCAAAAAACTACATCAAGAAAATATAAATATTGCATGGTTAACCACGAAAAACTAAGTAAATGACAAATGTATTGCTTAAGTATTGCAAAATGTATTGCAAATGTATTGCAAATGTAATACAAATGTATTGCAATACACCACTGCACCCTAATGGCCAGAAGACTTTGGCACCGGTTCCAGTCAGCTCCAGGGGCAAATTTCAAAATCCTGTGGCATAGTCTGAGAACATCCATCCACCAACCTCATGGTTATTAGCTCTGATGTCCCAGCTGGTCTCAACTATAGCAAACTATGAGGAAAGAGGTGTCTTAGGCTCTGATTAAGCAGAGCACTTGTGCATATATTTAAATTTCACTGCCTTCAATGGGATTTAAACATGTGCTTAAAGTTAACCATGCACTTAAATGCTTTGCTGACTAGGGTGAAGTCACTCACATTGAAGTTAAACACATGTTTCCATGCCTGGTTCATTGGGCCTTAGACAGCAAGTCAGATACAGCTTTATAGGCCAAGATTAATTTTGAATTGTATCCAGAAGTGAATGGGAAGTCAGTGCTGCTGTTGATAAACATGTTCCTGTAGGTTGACTTCACCTAGCAGTTGAGCAGCTACATATACTACATACACAGTACAGAGAATGCACCATGGTGAAAAGTTTAGATTTTTTATTATTTTAGGGTAACTATATAACTCTTTAGTGGCAGAGTGAAGAGACAATCTCAAAATAACATAGACCTCACATTTCTTTTTGTCATGCTGTGTTAACTTTACCATTATAGAAAATTTTAATGCATTGTCTACTGCTCCTTGTTCAGATGATGGTTGTAGTTTACTAATGAAGGGGAAAAGTCAGAGTATGTGAATAACAAACTAGTCTTTCATATGTATAGTCACATTCCTGAAGAAAAAAATAGAAATTTGCCAAACAAAATCTAGTAACTTCATTGGTCTGATAGATGAGTATTGAGTAATCTCCTTTTTACTCCAATAGAAATGCCACCTGTTGAAAAGTTAAATTTAACTGAGTTGATGAAATCCAGTTTGGATTTGTCAGATGAGTGGCCTAATGAAGGAGAAATGCTACGATTTCAGAAGCTGAGGGAGGAAATGGTAAAAGATGAAAAGGAAGAATTTCTTGCTAACCAGGATTTAAATCCTAAAGCCACAATGCAGGAGTTTGCTGAGTTCAGAAAAAACGGCAGAAAGAAAGAGAGGCTCTACCACAAATCAGCGACTCTTTCCAGGTGAAAGAAAGTATTATATATATTTTAATTTCATATCATGAGGTACAGTATGGCAGACTATGTGTGTTGGGCAGGTGATGAATAGCCAAACTTCTAAGTGAAAAGATTTAAAAGCATTTTAACATACAGCATGATTAAAAACCCTCCATCTGTGCCCAGATGATGCATTAGTTATGCTTAGAACAAATAAATAATAAAGAAAACAAAAAGGCCCTAAATAACTCTAAATTTTCTCTAAAACTAGGAAACAACAAGCACTATCAACTTTGTAAACATTAGAAAGGAAAGACGACTGGTTGAAACTGCCATCCCCATGCAGATATAAAACTTTATCAATTCATATTTTAATAATTACACTTTTGGAAATACTTTTGGAACATGCTTAACTGAAAGAAGTAAAATCTGTTAATGCATACTAGTGACTAGAAGACCCATTTCAGATTACTTAATTTTGCACTTTTAGCAAATAAGGCTATTGCATGATACAGTGTAATTACTTCATGTATTTTGCTAACTGATGTTTATGAAACTACATAGTATGCTAGTGAATGTAAAATATGGTGGGATTTTTGTAAAAGTAATGAAGTTTAGGTAATAAACCCTCACTAGAGGACCTGCTGTTGATTCTATGCTGAAAAGGGGAAGTATTTTTTATGTTCACATTATTAAGTGTGTGAATTAGCAAATTTCTCCAATATATATTTTCTCTTGAGTCACTGTAGTGTTTTGTCAATGTACAGTGTTATGGAACTGCTAATATACATTCAAGTCTAAGAATTAGGAATAGTGAAAAATTTTTGAATTTCAAAGTTTTGTTGAAATTTTGAAATTAAAAATAAAATCAGGAACATTTTTGACTAAAGTTTTACATTTATTCCCCACCATCCATTTTTGAGCAAACATAGAACTAGGTTATTTTTAATCTAGTCTTTGAATGAAATTTCACATTTCAAAGAAAAATGGAGAGAAATTTTCACAGCATTTTTTTGTGAAAGTTTTCCCTTTTTTCCCCACCAGGGAAAACAAACTATAGGATGTGAAGATGCAATGTATACACTCTGCCTAATTTAAAAAATATTATATAGTGGGTCAACATTCATCAAATTATACTTTTTCTTTTTTATTGTTGTTTGCTATAAATTACTTGATTGGCTGAACATTCCTATAACTCTGTTGGTTAAGAAACATAATCTCATGTATAAGAGCATCCAAGGGACTGCTCCATTGCACTATTGGGTATGAGGTTGGGGAGGGAAACAGTAGGAATCATTCATGAAAAAGTAAAAAATATACAGGAGTTTCTGTAATTCAGAGCTAATGAAAACCTATTCCAACAAAAAGTGCACTTAACTTGGATGGGAAGAACAAAGGAAAGTTCCAGCACTCAGAGAAGCACCTACTACTTTATGTAGGTAGTTCACTAGATTTCCTGTACAGTATGCTTACAGTTTTTCATTTTATGAAAAGAACCTGAAGGTGGCACTCTGTAATCATTTTCTCTTAAAATGAATATACTTTAAGTTTATAAACTGCTTTTACTCTGAAATCTTTTACTTGAACAGTTTCTTCTCATCACATTCTGCATCATATTTATCATCTTCATTATATATATTCTTATATTCCAGGTTCTGCTCTACAAATCCCTTCTCTACTGAAAGCAAAGGGAGGGCTTGCCGATTCAGGCTGTTTCTGTTCTTTTCCCCATAATATGATCCCATGTAACTGTATTTTTGATTATGAGTATGTCTACATAGCAACTAGACACCTGCGGCTGGCCCATGCCAGCCGACTCAGCAGTTGGGGCTGTTTCATTGTTGTGTACACTTCCAGGCTTGGGCTGGAGTCCGGGCTTTGGGACCGTCCCACCTTGCAGGGTCCTAGAGTCCAGGCTCCAGCCCGAGCCTGGAAGTCTACACAGCAATGAAACAGCTTCACAGCCCGCGCCCCACAAGCCTGAGTCGCCTGGCATGGGCCAGCCACGGGTGTCTAGTTGCTGGGTAGACATACCCTAAATCAGTGGTTTTCAACCAGGGGTACACATACGCCTGGGGGTACACAGAAGTCTTCCAGAGGGTACATCAACTTATTTAGATATTTGATTAGTTTTACAACAGGCTACATAAAAAGCACTAGTGAAGTCAGTACAAACTAAAATTTCATATCAGTGACTTATACTGCTCTATATACTATACACTGAAATGTAAGTACAATATTTATATTCCAATTGATTTATAATTATGTGGTAAAAATAAGAAAGTAAGCAATTTTTCAGTAATAATGTGCTATAACACTTTTGTATTTTTATGTCTGATTTTGTAAGGAAGTAATTTTTAAGTGAGGTGAAACTTGGGGGTATTCAAGACAAATCAGACTCCTGAAAGGGGTACAGTAGTCTAGAAAGGTTGAGAGCCACTGCCTTAAATCCTTGATTTAGCAAGCTATTGAAACCAGTTGGACTACTTATATGCTTAGTTAGACACTTTGCTGAATCAGGGCCTAAATGTTGTTGGAATATCAATGATCTATTGTGCCTATAAAAAAAGCTTAGAAGGAAGAAAGCCAAATTGGTTTGATTTCTGTGTTTTCTTATTCTCTGATTGGCCAAGGATCAAACCCACACATAAATCTGCCTTGTGAATTTAGTTATCCCTAAGGGCCGGCCTTAGGAGCATGTGACCTGGGTGACCGCCCAGGACGCTGTGGTTAGTGGGGCACGATGGTCAGTAGGGGTGAGTGCCGGCAAGCGTGGCGAGCCAGCCTGGCAGGGAGGCACAGGCATCAGTGTTCACCTCTGCAGAGCCAGCGAGTCAGATCTTGGGTCCCCCTTTTCCATGGGCTCAGTGGTCATGGGGTGTATTGCTGGGCCAGCAGCCGCCGCTCTCCAGCTACCCAGCTCTGAAGGCAGTGCTGCTGCCAGCAGTAGCACAGACATAAGGGTGACAATACACCAGACCATGCCACCCTTACTTTTGCACTGTTGCTGGTCACAGTGCTGCCTTCAGAGCTGGGTACCCGGCCAGCAGCCACCACTGTCTGGCCGTCCAGCCATCACTTAATTTGTGCCAGTGCCTCCTGGTGCTGAGCCCTGGCATCTCTTTCATTACAAATTAAGCACACAGAGGAGCCTACAGGTGCTGGGGGCAATGAGGGTGTCTGCCTGGGGCCAAAATACAAGTTTGCCCAGGGTGCCATTTTCCTTAAGGCCAGCCCTCACTATCATTAATTAATTTTTTCACCTGCTTGCCCTTTAATGCAGTATTGAATTAACTGTATCAAACTGCCTATTTTAAAAGGAAGAAGTTCTCACAGAAAAATACATTTTCTGAGTTTCAATCATATGATAAGATGATTCAAGCAAAGCGAGCTGAAGAGTTCAGATTGGCTGTGCAAAAGGAACTAAAAGAGACCCAGGCTTTAATTGAACAGCACAGAAAGTAAGTTTTATGGTTATGTTGCTTAATGACAATGCTGTATTTTTAAGTTGTTGTTCAGCTGTTCTTAACAAATTGTAACTTTTTTCCCTTCACAAATCACCATTTTACCATTTGTAAGGAAAGAAAATCATTACAAATGATCTGGATTATGAATAGAAATGTAAGGGGTACTTTCCTTCACAAAGCACAGTGCTCCTAGGGGACAGGAGTGTGAACTATTGAATTTCTCATTGACTTCACTGGGGAAACATGAGTTTCTGTTCCCAACTAGTGGAGAAAATGTTCCCTTTCACTATTCCTTACGTCATATAATATATTATAGAAGTATTTAAATAACCTTTTTTAATCTTTACTAACAGCAATGTACTCAGATGCGGATTAGGGATTTGTGGTAGCCCCTTGCCACCCCTTCTGCCTGCAGTCCCTCCCCCCCTTGTCATTCTCCCCCATGCTCCTGCCAGGGAAATGGGGTTGGGGCACGGGGGCTTGCCCCACCCTGCCCCCCCGCCCAGTGCTTCTGCTGGAGAGCTAGGTCAGCATGCGGGCTTTGTAGCCTATAGGGCTAGCCTGCTTGCTTGCCTATGTTTTATTATAATAGGTTATAATAGGATTATAGGTTTATAATAGAGTATATGTTAGCTGTAATGCAAGGGACCTACAGGCCACATCCTGTATGTTGAGCTTAGCTAAGGCAAAGTTAGCACATATATGTTTGGGACTTTTCACCCAGACAGCAAAGTTAACATACATATGTCTGGGACCTTTCACCTTATTATCTTCTGATCAGAATAATTGGCGAGCCTATAACCCATACTATCCAAATTAATAATATTAACCTCCTAAAATCAGACAACAGCTTCCCCTGTTCGCCTGGTGCTCCTGCCGGGGGCCCCGTTGGTCCAGTGGCTAATCCGCCACTGAATCTGCTAGAGGCAATAATTTGTGTCATAAAACATGTTGACATTTTTTCATTATAAAGAGTATGTATATTTAACAAATTTTGTTCTAAGAATTGTAAATTGTTTAAAATTCTGCCTTTTGTCCTACCAGATGCATGCATTTTGAATCATATTCAGAAGCCAACACACTAGCCATGGAACTTATCCAAAAAAAAGCATATAGATTGTTAGGTCTACTTTATAACACTGTCTTAAATTTTCCAACATATGTCTGAAATGTAGTTCATGTTTTTGCATAGTGGGACAAATGCAATCCTCTCTCTGCAGAGGTATGCCTGGCAGCACAAGATCTTGCACATCTTGCAGTTAGCAGGATTTGGAGGAGTGCGCAGAAGGTATACTTCCATATGTTGCAGAGCCCAGCTTCTTTGGGGTTGCCTTCACATCAGTCCACAGAGGGGGACTGGGCAGAGTAAGGATGGGAGCAGAGGTTCTGCCACTGTGTGGATCCTCTTGTTGCTACCTTTCCTTCCTGCCTGCATAGCGATGTTGAGGTTGTGGAGGGCTACTGCAATCATTGTGCACCCTTCCCTTCCTGAGGGACCTAGCCTAGATACTGATTTGGGCCAATGTTAGTAAAATAAGCTCTTCAGTTCGTTTAATAATTAATTAACCATAATACTTGTTTTTCCCTTTGTAGATATTAATCCCCTAGTTCTTGTTTCTCCCTTAATTAACTTACCTCCATGGCGGACCAGGGGCTTATCTATACTGGGTTTTTTGCAGTGGTCTAACAACAATGATGGAGATGCACCAGTGCATACCACTAGCATAGCATTGGTGTGCACTGGTGTAAAAAATGACTTGCTGTGTGACGATGTTATTCATGTATATGTACATGAATCTTATGTAAAACTAGGGAGTTACTACAGTCGTCATCCTTGAAGCCCATAAATTCCCCCCACAGTGAAGCATTAACAAATTAAGTACCTGAATGGATGATAATTAAAAAAAAAATCCAAACAAAAATTGTGGAACTAACATAACACCTGCTAAACTTCTCCACTAATTCACACAGCTTTTCATTATAGTTCTTCTCTCTTTGATCACTTTTGAGCTTTTCAGGTAAAAACTTTGGTTCAGATTCCAAGAAACCCAGTTCAGACTGATGTGGCTGGTGTGCATTATGCCACCAGCACAAGCATAAAACCGGCACATCTAATCCTAGGAAGATCAACTCAGTGCAAGGGGGATTCTCTGTTTGAATTGTCAAGGTAGCTCTTACACGACTCTACATCCTGGTATTTGGTGTAGCAAAGAAAAGACTAGAGGAAATATGCATGGCTAGGACACCTCAACACCATGATAATCTCCAGCTGCAATTTCAGTCTCTTGGAGCCATTAGCAGCCAATGTAGATCAGAATAGTCCTTAAGCTGCTCTATCTGTGCACAGGAAGAATTTAGGAGAAGAGACAAGGGGAACTATGTCTATATAGTTTTTAAAAGAATACACTCAGCAGACTTTATCACAGTTGATAAATACCTTCAAGGAGATAGTGTAAATGAAGGAAGAGGATTATTGTATTTATGATATCAGGCAATCATAGGACAAGGAGATATAACCTGTAACTAGGCTAGGAAGCAGGGCCGGCTCCAGGCACCAGCCCACCAAGTAGGGTGACCAGATGTCCCGATTTTATAGGGACAGTCCCGATTTTTGGGTCTTTTTCTTATATAGGCTCCTATTACCCCCCACCCCTGTCCCGATTTTTCACACTTGCTGTCTGGTCACCCTACCACCAAGCATGTGCTTGGGGCGGTGCCTGGAGGGGGGCGGTGTGGCGGGGCGCTCCGGCCCGAGAGCGGGGCCGTGACTGGGATCGTCGCCCTCCCCCCAGCACTCCGGCCGGTCAGGGAGAGCGGAGAGCCGCGGCGGGCTCGCCGCCCTCCCCCCAGCACTCTGGCCGCCGGGGAGAGCGGAGAGCTCTGGCCAGGCTCTCCGCCCTCCTCCCGGCGCTCTGGCCGCCGGAGGCTCTCCGCCCTGCTCCCGGCGCTCTGGCCGCCGGGGAGAGCAGAGAGCCCCGGCCGGGTTCTCCGCCCTGCTCCCGGCGCTCTGGCTGCTGGGGAGAGCGGAGCCGCGGCGGGCTCGCCGCCCTCCCCCCGGCACTTCAGCCCAGTTGGGGATTGAGAGCCGGCCCTGCTAGGAAGGAAAAGCTTAGGTTAGATCAGGGGTTGGCAATGTTCGGCACGCAGCTCGCCAGGGTAAGCACCCTGGCGGGCCGGG